GCTTACTAGGGCATCATTACTACATATTGGTACGATGGATCACATGGTTACATAAAGTACTATTAAAACGGAAGGATGGGTTGATAATGACGTACCCAGAAGCCAGCTTATGAGGCTTTTTGTCATGCCATTTCCTGAGCGGGGCTTCTCGAGGTGCTTCTAACTTTCAACATTCTCGCCTACTTCACCTCATTATGCTCTCCAGCGCCATTCTGTGAGCAACATGGTGGTGGGATGGCGTGCTTAGCGGCAACTTGGTCAGTGTCACCTGCTAGCTTGGAGGAGTGAAGGATTATCTTGGCTGATATTGCATCCCTCGTGTGTGTGTGTGTCGGTTAAGTACCTTCAGCTCTTTGATCCCACCTCTCTCCTTTTTATCGACTGATGTACAGGTTCATAAACCTGTTGGTTTCTCATTCTGCCTTTGAAACTGTGTATGGAGTCTGCCTCCACCACATTACTTTCTGGTGAATTAGATTTGTTCACTTCTGTTATTGTCGAGATTTCTAATGTATCTGGCTCTTCTGGATACTTGATTTCCACGTCTGTAAGATTTCCGTGTCTGTAAGATAGAATACCACCCATGTTAAATACTCTGTTCTTTCCGGGGGACCAATCAGTACTCCCACAGTGAAGTACTGGACACTCCATGGCATCACCAACGCGACATCTGTCGTTATCTTCGAAGACGGCAATGGTGCTACACTCCTCTTCTAGAGTGAAGAAGAGAATTTCAGAATTTTTCAACCCTGCAATCAGGCCCGCATTGCAAGATGCTATTCTCTTGCTATTTCCTCCAAGGCGTGTTCAGGCTGAGAGGACTGTTGTTGTCCGTAGTACAATTTCTAGGAGAGTAGAGAAGGCTACCACCAAGATTGTAGAGAGGCTCATCAACTTAAACCCGAACCTCGACTACTGTTTCGACGAAAATGATCGGGAAAGACGACGACATGCGCCTATCACTTAAATTAACGTTCCAGTCATCACATTTAGCAGCCTTTGCTTAATGTGATGACTGGAAGCTATTAAGCAAATGGCTTCAATGATTTTGGCACACCAACAACACAAATGAAGGAGAGGTACTTCTAGCTGCGCTAGTATAGTTTTAAATATGATTATTATACACAATACTCTACAGGAAGGAAGATGTAGTATATGCTCCTGCGACCACCTCTTCTGGTAATGCCAGGCATGTCACCAACGTTGCATACCATGGGCAGAGGCTGTACTGCAGTTTCACAGGTGTCCAGTCGAAAATGACTCGAGGCCAGACCAGACGACTGCTACCTACCGATCACAGACGACGACTACATGCAACCAGCTGTGTTCCCAGATTTACCAAGACAAACTGCTACCACACTGCAGCAGCCTAATACCCGGAGAGGTCCCAGGTATTAGGCTGCCCTCTCGATTCCTTGATTCGGCCTCACCCACCAGTCGACACAAAAGTTTGTTCTACTCGCCGACGTTTCGGTCCGTCCTGGACCATTCTTAAGATCGACTTGAGAATGGTCCAGGACGGACCGAAACGTCGTCGTCCCTTCATCTTCTAAGTGTGTGGTCTGGTCAACATACTTTAGCCACGTTATTGTGACTCATTTGGGACTTAATGGAGTAATGTTCTGCGTTGTGGGAGGCATGCTGTCACGGCTCAAGTTCGTCCACCACCCACCATGATGCCTCTCTTACTGCCTCTGCGTCATACTTGACTTTTTTTTTTCATTGGGATTAGGAAGGAGGAATGAGTTTAATGTCAAGTCTTTGACTATATATTTCAGTAGATTCATTTTAATTTGGTTTCAGTCCTGAGACTGATGGTTTTAGTGTAACATTGGCTAAAATGATTTTGTGACGAGATGCAAACGACGCGGCAAAAATATCCTCGTTTTCTGGGAAAAAGAATATGGAACGAATGCTATATTTTTTATGACTGTGTTTACTTATAATGGAATTAAAACAACCAGCGGCAATTTATTTGTTACATTAACAATTTATGGGTGATGTGGAAGTTTTTTCCTCTTCCCCCCCCCCCCATGTGCCTTCAGAACCAGCGATAAAGTCAGTCAAGGAGCTGGGTCGAACCCTGTTTCTCTCCTCCTACGTGACTCCTTTCCTCAAGCTACTATTCAACTCTACCCACTTTCAGCTCACCCAATGGCTATATTTAAGTTCATGTTTCAATTTCTATTATTTTCCGGGAATTTCGTGCGTGCTAATCATGCCAACGCAAACTTTCTTGCCTTGAAGTGAGGGTTGTAACTCATCACTAGTTGTAACTTAAATGAGGACACTAAATTAATAATACTAGTGGCAATAAGAAATAAATGACTGGTATAAATAGAAAATTGTCCAGTATGGCTTTTTTTTTATCTTTATTTAAGAAAATACAATATAAATCATACATAAGTTTTACAAGGCAATTATACATTACAATTCTTAGTGAACAAGTGTTTCAGTAGTACAGAACATGATCTTTAAAAAAAAACCCTGAATGTTACACTTATTTACCTACATTTACAGATGGAAGACGATAAATGGTTAACAACATTTCATCTTAATGTTGATGTTCCACTTGGGATGGTTGTGGTGGAGAGAGATGAGCTGGTTTATCAAAAGCTTTTGACATGCCATGTCAACGATGTTGCAGGTTTCTTAGAGCGTGGCATTTGCGATGAGCACATACACAGAGCTAATATTCACCAGGCACCGAGTGTCCTTTACGAAACCTGTTCATCTTTCCTCAATTATGGGTGTTTAATTTACATTTATTAAGCGGTTTCTGAGATCCGAGCGCTACGAGGATGTCTATAGCGAAAATAACTTTGGGTTATGAAGTTTCCGAGCTCGTAAATTGTTTAATAAATGCAATCTTAGTAGCCATGATGGAAACAAGATGTAGATGTTTCGTGAGTGGGCGGTTAAGTGTTTGATGAACCATCAAGGCCCAGAGGTCAATGAATGGGTGTGGTTCTGCTGTGATTTCTGAAGCTAAGGAGCCGGTCGGCCGAGCGGACAGCACGCTGGACTTGTGATCCTGTGGTCCTAGGTTCGATCCCAGGCGCCGGCGAGAAACAATGGACGGTTTCTTTCATCCTATGCCCCTGTTACCTAGCAGTAAAATAGGTGCCTGGGTGTTAGTCAGCTGTCGCGGGCTGCTTCCTAGGGGTGGAGGCCTGGTCGAGGACCGGGCCGCGGGGACCCTAAAGCCCCGAAATCATCTCAAGATAACCTCAAGATAACCCCGCTGCCTCCCTCCCCGTCTCCGCCTCTCCTGTCTTCAGAGTCCTCTGGAAAAGTTGGCAACAGTTGCCAAGTTGCTGGCGTGCTCGGCCCGCCAGTGTTGCCAGCGTAGAGGGGTGACTGGCCTAGACAGTCTGTTCATACCAAGCATTTTTCACATTGTGAATTCAGGAGAATATTTTGTTTTTAAAAGAACATCTCGTGGATGTAACTTTCTCTTTCACGTTCTCTCGCTCGCTTTCTCTTGTTCTCTCGTTAACCTTTCTCACATTCTATTTTTTTTCGAAGAATAATCAGGGCTTACTAGGCTACAAAACATGCTACGTTTTTATTCCCACGTCAAGGAGAAATGTCGGGCATTTGTCATCAGCTTTTCCCGCTTACTGGGAATGACTATAAATTTCCCAGGGGTCCCTAGGAGAACATGGCGCATATTTCTGCGTGTCTAGAATGAACATGAACGCAGCTGAAGCCTCGCCCCTCCCAACTGCGGGTCGCGATTTCACATTTTTTGAGGTTACACTGATTTTTTTCGTGTGCGCTTAAAATGAACGTTGTGAGTGTTCATCAACATAGTGCTTTCAAGGCGAGCTTCAGCTTCTGGGATCCAGTTTTTCAGATGTATGTCTTCTTGTGTAATGGCTGCCAATCCTGGTGGGGGTGATACTAACTCTTGACTCTGGGAAGCGCAGATAACTACACCGTTTTGTTTTGTTTTAAAGATTATTACGTTGTTACAACTTTGTAACATAGTAATGCTAGTCAAATAAATGTGGTTACGTTGTGCGTTTGCTGGGAAACTGTCTTAAGAGTTTCCATAGATTCACAAAGACAAGATCCTCTGGGATTCTTGCAAGGATAAAGCGCTTTCCTCCGTGCCTACGGCTCGTGCGAGACGGATGGACGATGCTGTTAATTCCTGGTGGAAACTTCTGCTTTTCCGGAGACCATTTTTCTCGTATCGTTCAGAAAATATTTCAGATTTTTTCCTAGTACACCTTGTCGATCAAAGAGATTTATCAGGAAAAAAAATCCATGCGGAAGCTCATTCCTTCAGAACACTATACAAATCTGTTATAACTACTTATTCGTTCCATTTATTTATATCAGATATACTAATCATCTTCCTTTGATACCTGCACAAGAGTCTGCCCCTTTTAAAGCGATCAGGGAAAGAAATGTTAATAATTATTCAAGATTTACTGCTTGAAAAATATTCTTTTTTTATTGCCAATTTTTTTCCCCAAAACTAAAACTGGGATCTTATTCCTGGGTAGACGACCCGGGCTTCCTTGGTTCCCCCGGAGCTTGTTAAGACCTGCTTGATGGCTGAGTGGAACACGAGCCCTGTGGGACACGGGGGGGCGGGGGGGGGGCGAGGTGGATGGAAGGAGCAACCGGACCACAACCGTTCATTAAACCTAGCTATCACCCGTAAAAAAAAAAAAATACTAACGTCAATCTAAGGGGAACTGTGCCCCATCCCCCCGTGCACCACTCCTCGTTCACCCCCCCCCCGTGCACCACTCCTCGTTCACCCCCCCCCCCCGTGCATCACTCCTCATCCCCCCCCCCCTGCCCCCCTCCCCCCCCCTGGGGCTTGAGACAAATCCTCCCTTTTTTCACATTATGCTCCCAAGCCCCTGGTGAAGACCGTCAGAGTTATAGTAGAGAGAAAATACAGCTTATTAACGTGTAATCAGGCATAAAATCTTGTACATAAAGAGAAGAGTGAATAACAAGCGTGTGTTCTCTTGCAGGGGCCTTGACAGCAGCAACAGGAGCAGCAGCAGCACGAGGAGCAGCAGGAGCAGCACACGTGCCATGGTGACCGGTGGTGGGAGTATCGGGAGAGTGAGCGGCGGTGTTGGGGCGAGAGCCAGTGTTGGAGGGCGGGTGGTGGTGATGGTGGCGGTGGGGGCGGCCGTGTTGGCGCTGCTAGTGCCTGCCACCACCGCCATCAACCCCCACTCCACCCTCGAGTGCCACCGACGACAGTACACCTACAAGGTTAGTCCTGGCGTGTGATACGCACGCATCTTGAGGTTATCTTGAGATGATTTAAGAACATAAGAACAAAGGCAACTGCAGAAGGCCTATTGGCCCATACAAGGCAGCTCCTATCTATAACCACTTTCGGGGCTTTAGTGTCCCCGCGGCCCGGTCCTAGACCAGGCCTCCACCCCCAGGAAGCAGCCCATGACAGCTGACTAACACCCAGGTACCTATTGTACTGCTAGGTAACAGGGGCATAGGGTGAAAGAAACTTTGCCCATTGTTTCTCGCCGGCGCCTGGGATCGAACAAAGGACCACAGGATCACAAGTCCAGTGTGCTGTCCGCTCGGCCGACCGGCTCCCCTACATATACACACCCGCTGGCGAGGAGTTACAATAACGTGGCTGAGGTTTGTTGACCAGACCACACACTAGAAGGTGAAGGGACGACGACTTTTCGGTCCGTCCTGGACCATTCTCATCGACTTGAGAATGGTCCAGGACGGACCGAAACGTCGTCGTCCCCTCACCTTCTAGTGTGTGGTCTGGTTAATCTACACACCCCAAGCTTACTCAGTTATCACAGCCCCATTAACCATACAATACACGACTCTTGCAGCAAGAAGTAGCTGTGCCAGTTCGAATAGGGATCGAATAAGGGGTAACTGCAACAAAAATACAATTGAACATAATGGGCAGTGGGAGTTATGCATGGCGGAACTGTTATTAGAGACGTAGTCAACAGGCGCGGCAAGACTGCAGCTTTGTTTCCGTTCGTAGAGATTCTCCATTTTACTGCCAAGGTTTTTTTTTGCTTTAGTTTCCGTCCTTGTGTCCACACGAGCAGGTCCTCCTGGCCTCGCCTCACAAAGACATCACACGCTCACACTCCTCAATGGATAACGACTTTAGCAAACACAGCAAGGAAGAACAAATGCCAGTGTGTGTATGAGAGAGAGTGTGTGTGTGTGTGTGTGTGTGTGTGTGTGTGTGTGTGTGTGTGTGTGTGTGTGTGTGTGTGAGTGCGCGTGTGTGTGTGTGTGCGTGAGTGTGTGTGTGTGTGTGTGTGTGTGTGTGTGTGTGTGTGTGTGTGTGTGTGTGTGTGTGTGTGTGTGTGTGAGTGCGCGAGTGCGCGAGTGCGTGTGTGCGCGTGAGTGCGTGAGTGCGTGAGTGCGTGAGTGCGTGAGTGTGTGTGTGTGTGTGTGTGTGTGTGTAAGTTACTAACTGTACCTGTTTGTATCTCCCGCAGGTGCACAAGACTGATGACGACGGTCGGGTGTGTTGGGATTTCATCAATGTCATGAGCTGCTGGGGGCGCTGCGACTCTAACGAGGTCAGTACTCTCTGCTGGTACAGTTACCGGGAGCTCTCTCTCGCCTCACGGGTCAGTACTCTCTGATGGTACAGTTACCGGGAGCTCTCTCTCGCCTCACGGGTCAGTACTCTCTGATGGTACAGTTACCGGGAGCGCTCTCTGGCTTCACTGGTCAATACTGTTTCTTGGGAAACCTGCATGAAACCTTTGTGACGAAGATTATTTCGAATGTTCGTCTTTGGGAAATTACCGTTCAGAATCCAATGACTTGTTAGAAAGGTACTATTTCGCGATGCTTTGTGGGTCGATGGTGTTGGCGACGTGGGAGGTGGCTACAGATGGTGCTGGGGACGTGGGAGGTGGCTACAGATGGTGCTGGGGACGTGGGAGGTGGCTACAGGTGGTGTTGGCGACGTGGGAGTTGGCTACAGATGGTGCTGGCGACGTGGGAGGTGGCTACAGATGGTGCTGGGGACGTGGGAGGTGGCTACAGGTGGTGTTGGCGACGTGGGAGTTGGCTACAGATGGTGCTGGCGACGTGGAAGGTGGCTACAGATGGTGCTGGGGACGTGGGAGGTGGCTACAGGTGGTGTTGGCGACGTGGGAGTTGGCTACAGATGGTGCTGGCGACGTGGGAGGTGGCTACAGATGGTGCTGGGGACGTGGGAGTTGGCTACAGATGGTGCTGGCGACGTGGGAGGTGGCTACAGATGGTGCTGGGGACGTGGGAGGTGGCTACAGGTGGTGTTGGCGACGTGGGAGTTGGCTACAGATGGTGCTGGCGACGTGGGAGGTGGCTACAGGTGGTGCTGGCGACGTGGGAGGTGGCTACAGGTGGTGCTGGCGACGTGGGAGGTGGCTACAGGTGGTGCTGGCGACGTGGAAGGTGGCTACAGATGGTGCTGGCGACGTGGGAGGTGGCTACAGGTGGTGCTGGCGACGTGGGAGGTGGCTACAAGTGATGCTGGGGACGTGGGAGGTGGCTACAGGTGGTGCTGGGGACGTGGGAGGTGGCTACAGATGGTGCTGGCGGCGGACCAAGTAGTTACAAATGTCACACACACACACACACACACACACACACACACACACACACACACACACACACCTGGTGAGTACACCTGTTTGCCTACGATATGGCGCGTAAATAAAATGTGGCTGGCTATATCCGTAGACTTACATTACAAATACTGACTTTCCCAATCCTGACAGTGTCGTCGCTACCCTGGTGTGGGCCAGACGTGTAGGCCTACCCCTCCACATGGATTTACTGCTAAAGGGGTACAGACGGCCTTAAGGCTTTCGCAACCTTACAGTGATATATACCATCTAGCTCCTGGAAGCTTTCACCTAGATTTCAAAGTGGTGAGCAGTGCAATCTGATCAGATATGGACAAACAATACCTATGTATTTGAAGTGGCGCCTTGGGCAGTGGGGACATGGCCGCTTCCCCTTACCTCACGCCTGGTGGGCAGACGCCTGAGGTGGTACCCCGGGCGCTGGAACTTTAGCCCCTATTGCCCCGTTCCCTAAAGCTGTAATTCCCCTGTACAGCCTGGACACGGTGGCACGAACGGACCACTTGCACACCACTATACAGATGCCTCAGTGATTGGTGGTACCAGTGCAGTGTTACATACAGTGTAGAGGACTATTAAGTGTGTGTGTGTGTGTGTGTGGATAAAGCAGGTTTCAGAGTGGCACTCTCTACACCTGTCACTCTGGTCGGAGCCACACTACCCTCAGCAGTGTTGCCAGCTGACCGCGTATACACCTGCGTTCGCTTGTAAGTGTCTGAACTATTCATCTTGTCTCTGCACTATGATTAGTAGCCGCTGTTGTTCTGGGTCCAGGCCATAGCCTGAAGTGCTACTCTGTGGTAGAAGCTGCTGTGTATTGTCACTTCATGTTGTGACTCTGGCAAATATGGCCACTTCCCTCCCGCCTTCTGGGGACACCCACAGCGACCCTTCCCAAAATGCTTCAGACGCAGTTGCGTCCACTTCGGCCACCTCCCCGCATGACTTACAGCATGGCCAAACACTCCATCCCAGTACAGCCAGGTATGAGGACACCAGCTCAAGTGATGAAGCAGCCTCGGATGGTGGTTTTACTGAACACAAAAGCCGGAAGACCTTACGTAAAGAGAAGTTAAGGGGAGGTAATAATTCTGTCAAGACGACCAATGTCACCCCCACAACGGGAGGGGCACCACGACCCACCCTAGCACCCCGTAATAAATATGCCAGGCTGGCATTTCCATCTCAAGTTACCAGTGACCAGAGGTACGTCTGGATGAGACGGGACCTTCCTAGCTATTTTCCTGACCCCATTGACCTCATAATCCCTAGACACGCCTCGCCCTACATCTATGTAGCCAGGTCCGATGAAGTCACCATCTCGGCCCTACTCCAAGGTCAAGTGGGTGGCATCACATTCAGTAAAGCAGACTCTCCTGAGAGGTCCAGGAGGTACAGAGAGTACCTTGTCACATCCTACCCTCATGACCTTGACATCTCCCATGCGAAAGAACTACCAGGTGTGCACAGTGCAAGACGCATCCAGTCTGGAGGCAAGCCACTCAACAGGATTGTCATCGTCTGGAAACATGAGACACCGCCCCCCAGTCATCACACGTTCCTAGGCCCCTACCGGCCAGCCTGCCCCATAACACCCTGGGAGTCCTCAGCTGTCATGTGTTTTAAATGTCAACACTTTGGTCACGTAGCCAAACACTGTCAATCTTCAGGCACCTGTGCCTTCTGTGCAGACAATCATCTCACTAAAGACTGCCCCAATAAAGACCACGCCCCTGGGACCGATGAGACCTCATCCTCAGCCACCAAGCTCAAGTGTTCCAGGTGCTTGCGGGAGGGCGTGACCGCCTGGCACAAGGACTGTGACAGGCGGCCTCCCCCGTACAGCGCAGTGGGGCAACCCTCCACCACCCCAGTCAGCCCCCCCACCCGGGGTGGCCCCACCACTACACCTACCCGCCCCCACACCCGGAATGACCCCACCACCGTTCCTGACACCAACAGCCTGACAACCTTCCCTGGCCTACCTGGGAAGCCTGACGCCAGCCTGCAGAGGGAGGTGTTAGAACTTCCAGCTCGCATGAACAAAATAGAAATTACCGTCAATAAGCTCCAAGAAACACTCACGAAGATTGAAAATGGTCTCAACAGCATTTATGCTAAGATCACCATGGACAACCCGAGTCAGTGTTCAAGCGATCATCTCGCCAGCCCGAGGAGTGAAGCGAACGTCCGAGTCTCTAGTGAAATGCCTTCCAGTGCTATAAGTGTTGACCCGTCTCCAGCAAGTATTGACCCCCTCTCCAGTGCTGTAAGTTTTGACACGTCTCGAGCAAGTCTTGACGCCTCCTCCAGTGCTGTAAGTACCGTTGTGTCGAGTGAAACATATGAAAACCCGTGTATCTTAGATGTATTTAACAAATTCACTCAAGAACTCATTAAAAACAATACCGCTTGTGTGTCTACGATTCCTGACGAACATGAAATGATTGTAAATGATAGGAAAAATACAGGCAGCCAGCTGAGCTTGAAACAGGTGAAAGAACTCTTTGCCATTAATGACGATGAACAATTGGCATTTGTAAGCAATAGTCTACAACTTGTGAATCTTATAAACACTTCTCTTCGTCAGGTTTATGAACACCATTACCCACGACCAACTCACTCTTAAATTTCTCACGTGGAATGTGAGAAGCGTGCGAAGGAGGCTGTTTGATCTAATGATGTACGCTGGTGCCAACAACATTGATGTATTGTGCCTGCAGGAACCATACACTGCAAACACAAAAAATAAAACGCCACCCAAACTCCCAGGTTATGTAGCTTTCTCAAATGTTGGTTCCCATGATGTCGGTATCTTGACGTATGTTAAAAGTAACCTAGTGTGTAAACATGTTAAAAACCACAAAAGTGACGACTCATATTATCAGCAGTTTCAGATTGCTACAGCGACCGGGTTTCTTAACTTAGTTAATGTATATGTAAGGTGTGATCAAATGGTGGAAGCTTCTCTCCCAAAAATTACCAGCAGCTCTCAAACCATTGTAATGGGTGATTTTAATGCTAGACACACTAGCCTGGGTGACACCAAAACAAACGGGAATGGCAGAGTCTTTGTAAAATACTTAAGAGATAATAACATGTCCGTATTCAACTTCGACTCCTCTAACGTCACACACCTCAGGGGTGGCAGGCTTGATTATGTCATTGGTCACGGCCTCATTGATAATGCTGTCGGAGGATCAATTGTTCATGAATTAGTTAGTGATCATTTTGCCATATTCAGTTCATACACTATCAATAATGTCAAACCCCTAAGCTTTGGAAAAAAAATAATTAATATCCCTGAAAATTTACACATGCTCTTCAAATTCCGCATTTCTGAATGGTATAACACTTACTGCTTTACTACCGTCAATGCATTATATGAGGACCTGGTCACTGAAGTAACCGCTTTTTATGACAATGTTGTAAAATCCGCAAGACCCAAACCAATGAGGAAGGGACAGAGGTGGTTCACTGACTCACGCCTTATGCCCCTGCATGACAGAGTTCTATTCCTAGCTGAGCAGTATAAAACACATAAAACAGCTGACACCCTCAACATATTTCTTAAAGCCAGCCGAGAGTTTAGAGAGCTAAAGGAACAGGTGTATAACCAGCACTGGGAACAGTTTCTGCAAGGCATCAATCATGCAACATCCTCATCCCAAATGTGGAATAAAATTAAAAAGATTTCTCGTCCTAGCAGTCGTCAACTTGATCACCATTCACCTGTAGACTATGCCGACATGCTGCTTCAGCAATATGCAAGCACTGCTAGTATAAGCAGCCTGCCCCTAGATGTGCAAAACTATCTGGCTAGTACTAAAATAAATCGTAACTTCAATATTGAAATTGCCTGTAGTGAAATAGGGCCTGATGATAACTATGGCATAACCCCCTTTGAAATTAAAAATGCACTCAAGAAAGGTAAGGCT